CCCGAAGCTCAGTCAGGATGGAACACAACAACAGGCGGCAGGTTTTTAGTGACAGTAACCATGTTCGGCAGTGTGTGTTTTCTACTGTTCCCCCGAGACAGGGGGTCTGGACACGGACTGAGATACAGAGGGTCCACACACACACACACACACACACACACACAGCAGAGGTCCACACAAAAAGATCAGTTCTCTGGACTCAAATGTTCTGCAGCTATTCTCATGTGTCTGACTTCAGCACTGCAGAATTTATACGAGAAAACAGCCTGAACTTCCGGAGGCAGGCCGGCACAGATAACTTCTGCTCAGCTCCGACGTTAAAAACTCCATTGATTGTATTTGTCACCTTCGTTCAGAGTTTTTCTAAAGTGGTCAAACGGTGGTTTCCTCTTCAGTCAGGATGAAAAACATCGACTGAGCTGAACGTGCGACACAAGTCATAGAATAAATTCCGCTCTTAGATATTCTGTTTCCTGTCTTTACTTCTCAAAGAACCGTGGTGTTGGATTACATATACGACTAGACAAGCTGATGTAAGGATGAAGAAGCGTAAGGATGCTCTGTTGTGTTCTGAAGTGAAGCCTCTTTTCTCTTGTCGGTCTCAGTATCTTGCTCAGGGACACTTCAGCAGAGCGGATGATTGCAAACACAGGGAGTTATTTGGTTGAGGGATCGTCCCTCTGACCACTCTGCTTCTGAGCTTCCTTTAAAAGGCAGGAAAAACACTCTGATATTAGTACTAGCTAGTTATTTACTGGAGCCAGGGAAAATCCCAGAGGCCGCAGCGGCCTGTCTGCGAGCCTCTACTTAGTTCTGCTATCTGACTTAAACTCTTCGTACCAGTCGTGTCATTAACTAACTTCCCTGTGTTTTTCTCGGAACTCGAACTCGCATGAACTGTCAGGATGAAGAATATGCAGCTCATCCTCACTCTTCTCGTGGAAAGTCGTCTTACTCTTCGTCGCCTGTCAGCATTTATACATCCATACACATCCATACAGCACCTCTAGGACCAGAGGAGCTGGGGATCAAACCACCGACCTCCTGATAAGAGGACGACCCGCTCGGAGCCAAAGTGCTCACAGAGTGAAGCCCTCCTAATGCAACAGTCGCCTACATCATTACATCATTTCCTTATCACCAGCGGCAGGAGGCGGGGTCTAATGTTACCTGCCTGCTCTGATTTGATCAGCGGATCAGTTCATCAGTTAGTATATGTGGTGGTGTAGTACCTTAAAATAAATGTATGTACAGTAACTAAGTAAATGTACTTTGCTACATCCCACCACCCGTCACGAAGTATCTCAGTGTCGGTATCAAACACAAACACACTCCCATGTGGAGCAGATCCAGTAACCGGGCCGGGATGGAGAGACGCCGTCGGGATTGACACGGAGCTTTGATTAAGTTGTTTTCTTTTGATTGGCTGTTCGGCTTTAAAAAAAACTAAACAAAAAAAAGAGTAGCTCAGTAAAATGGGACCCATGTTTTGAAAAGCAGCGCAGAGTATAAACATGCTATGTGACATTGTGGTTGACAGATAAACAGAGCATCAGCGTTAATTAAAACAGCCCTGGTTCTGTTGAACTAAAGGAGAGTGTGTTATGACCACGGTGGCCGAGCTTGTGTTACAAACAGTGTATTTGATAAAGACGCGTGTGTTTTCCTCCAGTCTGGCTCAGGGTGGATTCTTTTATTTCAGTTTCCAAACCTAGATTTCTTAACTGCCCCCAAACTCTAAACAGTTCCCGGTGTGTGCATCTGGAGTGCTAGCCTGGCATTAGCCTGCTAATTGATCCTCTGAAGGGCCACCGGCCGACAGCCAACACAGCGGTGGATAGAAGTACATGTGGCGCTGAGAAAGGACTTTTGTTCTCTGGGCCCCCTCGCTCTCGTTGCTTGTACGGAAAAACTGAGATGGGGGTTGGAGGTTGTAGAGGAGGGGCTGACCTTTTCCTAAAAACAGCCTCTCTTTCTCTCCGTCACCCAGTCGCTCACACCGAGACAAACAATAAATAAGTGTGCAAGTAAAAGATGTCGTAAAAGGGCTGGACTCTGGCAGGGTTACTCGTAATGATGCATCAAAACAGAGGGAGAAAAGTGCGAAAACATACACAAACACTGTATAAACACGAATCCCATTGGCTCATTTAAAACCACACAACGTGTATATATATATATAAACTGAGAACATATTACATTTTTAAAATCGACTGACGGTGAGCTTGCAAATGTCCAATGGTGTAAACACTTTAACATCCAGTCACACCAGCGTTTAAACAACTTTGATGAAGTCTGACGTTGGACTTGGCGTCGTCGATGAACTGTCTGAACAGCACTGACCTTTGAGGGAGTCCAAAGTGGAAGAAGCTGTTGTAGCTTGTTAGCTGTGTTGCACCATCTAACTTGATTTAACCTCCTCTGTTGGATCGTCAACCGCACAAAGGAGGAACTGTTTGCAGACGGTTATGAGACAATCCTACAAGTATGTCTTCAGAATAAACTGTGTGAACTTTTTCTATTGACTAACTTTTTATAACCACATCATCAGGATGTGTGAATGAACCGGGATAAACAATGTGAACGAAACCCTGCATTTATGTACAAATGATCTCATCAGGTTTTTTTTATTTTACCAGGAAACAAAACATCAGGTTTGAAAATGTGTTTAAAAACTTGTTTTAACTAGAATCACCTTCCTGTGCTTGTTCGCCAACCAGACACTTTCAGTCTTTGACGAGTGTCAGTTAATCCTTGAGTCTGAGTAAACCCAGTGTGTTGTGTGTCCTCAGCAGGATACTGTGATTGGTTGTTGCCGCTATGACGAGGGCGACAGTACCAAGCGTCACGCACCATTAGTGATAAAACTAGTGTATGTGGAACGTGAAAATGTTTGTGGACGTACCCTGGTGGCAGCGGCCGCTCCCAGGTGGTGGTTTTGGTGTTGTGGTCGACGTAGTAAACTCTGCCATGAGGCAACACCCTCTGCTCCCAGCTGTACACAGACGGTGACACAGAAACAATTGTCAGATCTGTTTTCACTCATTTGTAATCACAGGAAACAAACTGTTCTCCTCATTAGACAAATCATATTCTTAATGTGTGTGTCAGTGTTAAACTCTCACCCCGCCGGGAGTGATTCTGTCGTGGGCTCCGTCGTGCTGTTGCCACCGGCCTGCTCTGTGCTGCCAGAGGTGGCGTTTGGGCTGGGCTCCGCCAGGGTGGCCGGACCCAGAGCGTCCTGAACGGGGGGAGGGCTGCTGCCGCTGCTCGGAGCTGGCGATCGGCCTGATGGAGAGGACGGAGGAGGCGTTTGACGGGCCACGCCCACCCGACCGTTCTCTGGCCCGTTCGACGTCAACTCAACTTTGTCTGAGGAAAAACGCAAAAAGAAGAAACAAGGACATAAAACGCCCGACTCACTGTTACAGCGTTAACTCAAAAGACAAAACAAACCCGGCTCTAAGAAGCTGATCTGGATTTTTATATTATTTGAATTTCTGAGCCATTTTCTAAACCACCGCATCCACATGCTAACGAGAAACACATCCCAGCTGGCTGCTTAACACTGTCACTTCCTGATGAGCTGTAAAAACAAACCGTTACAGCCTTGTGAGCTGAAACTGTTGAAACAGATCTGAGTCAGTGTACACACATATTATTCTGTGTGTCTCGTATACCTGATCCATTTCCTGGGCTTCCAAGACTCTTGGAAGAGCGGCGGTGACCAGACGAGCCCGGCCCGGGGATCTGCTCCTCAGTCAGCTCCCCATTAGTCAGAGAGCCCCCCCTGGAGGACCCCGGGGAGCCAGTCTGTGAACCCCCCACTGAGAGTCTGTTACTCCTGCGAACGTAAAGACAAACACAGAGGGGGAGAGAATGAGATGTGGAGACGAGGGGACGGAGCGAACGAAAACGAGACGAGGAGAGAAAGTGGGGGAGGGAAGGTGCTTTGTTTTGACCACTTAGATTTAAGTTCCGAACTTGAATCAGTCGGATGATTTTGATCGGACGATGTGATTAATCACATTTTAAAGGAAAAACCTGAATAAATTTGTGGAGAAACATCAAATGCTGATGCCTCCACACAGGTCTCAAGGGAAGAGAAGTTTTACGAGTGTGAAAACGACGGAAATCACATTTTAACACCAGTGGTAGATTTTGGACGGACAAGTATCTTAACGGGTCGCCAAACTTTGCTTCTCCGACGAGAGCTTTTATACATACAAAGATAAACACGTCGGCTTTCCCTCCCCAGGACTGAGGAATGCTGAGGCTGAGTTTGGACGAGCGTCGACAGAAAAACCACAATCAGGGTCGATCTCGGTTGTTCCTTCAACCACAAGAAGGAGAAGCAGCAGGAGGGTGTGTGTTGACAAACTGTTCAACCTGGGGAGAGGGGTTGTGTGTGGGAGAACAACAGAAGTCACCTCTCGTTCCTGCGGAGGTGACTTCTGTTCGCACACAGCTGGATGCAGATGTTGACTGCTTCTCCATGACAGCGGCGGTTTGGGCTCCGGGCTTAACTGTGTTTAATGCCCTCCTGCAACGTTTAGTAGGAAATACCATCTGACCCCATGCACCCACACCACACAGCTTTGAAACGCAGCCCGCTCCACTATTTATTATCCATTCTAGCCAGTGAGAGCGGCGCCCCCCTCCTGAAACCACATACAGGGGGGAATAACATGCTGGCACTCTGCATAAGTGCTTCAATCGACCATTCTGCCACAGACTTCCTTCACTCCATTCTTTTCTTTTCTTTCTTCGATTTATTTTGATTACCATTATGCCGCGGGTTTTATGATTTTTTTTCATACAAGCGCTTTGCCGCCAGTGTTTTAGAAAAGAGTTACGCAAGTTTATTGTTGTGCTATGTTTCTTACTGTTTTACCACAATGTCTGGAAAGATCTGAAACCAGCAGTGTAATGAACTTTTCTCCATTTAGATGCTTAAAAGTCGGATTTTCAGTTTGTTTGGGTTTAAATTAAAATCCATGAACTCGCTTTAATCTGGTTGAGGCCTCTGTTCCTCACCTCACCAGCTTTTATATATATGTATATTATATTCTAGTTCCAGAAATGTACGATTGTCTGTCTGTTGAACACAATATCTCAAAATCTCTGCATGTGAGTTCCCAAGAATGGGATGTACGTATGAATGGATGGAAATGATGAAGAAGCAAAACGTGAAGCAGACTGAGGAATCGATATAATCCAAAAACATCATGAGCTTAATGTCGATGTGAACAGAAACAAACTTCAGTTAAATAAACCGACGTATGCACAGAGAGTTGTTACATCTTTAGCTCTGAACGTCTGGTTTCCAAACCACTGCTCCTGCATTCGTTTTTCCTCACCACCACCATCGCTCCTCCTTTTTCTTCAACTTGTTCTTCACAGCTAAACTCACTGTCTGCTGCAGACGCATCACCAGGGTAATTCACTTACATATGTGCCTTTATATAAGAAGCCAAGCCCACTTCCTCTTTCAGTCAGTAGGTATGAAAACGTTCATCCTTTCCTCCCCGTGAATAATCTTTCCACACAGAGCGTCTAGATCTATATTTGACATGTTCCAGGCAGATGGAACAGATCACGGTTTAATGTTCACACAGATGAATGTGGACAAAGTGAAGCTTTTTCAAACACACTCTCATTCACCGGTTTGTCTCTCATCTCACACATCACATCTTTGTTTTTATTCAGCAGCATTGAGGGGATAAGTGTGTGTGTGTGTGTGTGTGTGTGTGTGTGTGTGTGTGTGTGTGTGTGTGTGTGTGTGTACCTGCTCTGAGAGCCAGCGACACTGGCCGTCTCCTCGCTCTGGGTTCTCCTCAGGTTGGGTCTGTCTGACTGAAGCATCTCTGCAAGGACACAAAATTGATGTTGAGATATCACGTTCATAAGAATGAGATGAAGAGACGGATGGAAAACCTAAAACTTGAAGCCTTTAACTACGCTGACGTTTAATTGTTATATTGATGACACATAAAAGAGTAGAACATATTAGAGTAGAACATAAAAGAGTAGAACATAAAAAACGGTTGATTGTGTGATTTAGGCCACTTCATGTTTACATAAAAAAACCTCCAGAAGAATAAACTCCATATTGTCCTGAAACATGTGGCCATGGACATACATGTATAGTTGGTGGTTTAATAGAGACCATTCATCCTTGTATGTAGTGTAAGTGTGTGCGTGTGTGCGTGTGTGCGTGTGTGCGTGTGTGTGTGTGTGTGTGTGTGTGTGTGTGTGTGTGTGTGTGCGGTCCTGCTGGTGTGGGGGAATGTGAGACTATAGGTTCAGTTCTGACTGAGAATCACAGGCCTATAATGTGCTTTTCATTAACACTCACTTTCTCCTTCACACACACAAAAGCAGCAGCTTCCTGTGCGGCAGGACACACACACCAGACACACAACAGCCTCAAACAGTGTTCATGTTTACACGCATATATATTCTGCTATCTAAAGTAAAGCAAACAGGTAATCTCTCACTGACTGACCCCCCCCCCCCTCAGCGACTCACACACACGGTGCAGTTTTGTGGCTATGAAAGAGCTTCTTGTGGCCAGACCCCGATGGACATACAGAAAAATAAACAGTGGTCTTGAGGAGAAACCATTTTGTCATTGCCTAAGTCCATCGCCCCCTTCCCTCTTAATGGCCCAAGTCTAATTACTGGTGGGGGTGGGGGTGTGTGTGTGTGTGTGTGTGTGTATGTGTGTGTGTGTGTTTGTAAATTTCCAGTCAGCAACTAAAACACCTCAAATATAAAAACAACTTATCTACACTAAAAACAGGACAGAGCACATTTCACTTCAGCAGCTGGACAAACAGATAAGAAACGCTCTGATTAGAAAACCTAAACTAAAAACAGCCTGAAGTGATGTCAGAGACGTCAACTCATTTTATTTAACCGAGTAACTAAACGTCCTCAGTAGCAAGTTATAGAAACCTGAATATTTGCGGAATGAAAAGGTTGTACGACTATGTCAAAGCAAGAGTGCTCCGGAGATTTAGAGCTAAAACTGAGAGAAAAGAGAGAAAAACGCTGCTGCTCCCGTTTTAGTTTGAAAACTCTGGGGCTGTGCTTTAGTCTGGACGAGCAGAGATGGTTGGAAACAATTACTGAGACACTTTCAACCACCTGTAGTGTTCGCTGATTCCCCGAGCTTCTATCACATGACCCCACCTCCGGAATAAAACAACCGGCAGTGGCATTGTGAAGTTTCTGTAACAACTGATTATACGCACTGGACAGAAAATCTTCATGTTTGCAGCCGAGCTCTTTCTGCACCTAACAACCAAATGCTTCCTGTTTACACGGGATATGCGTTTTCATGCGTGTTAGTATCGACAGGGATTAAAACCGATACAGAGCCAAAAAGCACGTGTGGAGAGAGATTGTTTTAGTTTGAAAATGCCATTTTCAAATCCAAACGTACTAGTACGAATCTGGCCTAAGTGTCTCATGTGGTACACAAACATCGAACCCTCAGGTCGCCACAGTTTGAATGATTTGTCAGCACAAACAGCTCTTTCATTCAGCAGTAACACACTGTCCCCCTCAGTATTTCTGTCTCACATAGTCAACACGTCTTTGGTACGTTCGGCCAGTTAACGTACATGATTCTAGCAGGACATGTCCTGAGTGTCTGTGCTCCAGTGTACTTATGGCTTCTGGACTGGCAGTTATTCACACAGTCAGTGAAGTGTGTACACGAGCATATAACATCCACAGAGTGGGCCACTATTCCCCGAGTTGAAATGTTTCTGCTCTGGCTTCTGTTTCCCCCCAAGATCATTAATACAAGGGTTTGTTTATAAAAGCCTGGTGTGTGTGTGTGTGTGTGTGTGTGTGTGTGTGTGTGTGTGTGTGTGTGTGTGTGTGTGTGTGTGTCTCTCTCTCTGTCTCTGTGTCTCTCTGTGTGTCTCTGTGTCTCTCTCTCTCTGTGTGTGTGTCTCTGTGTGTCTCTGTGTGTGTGTCTCTGTGTGTCTCTCTGTGTGTCTCTGTGTGNTGTGTGTGTGTGTGTGTGTCAGAAACGTTGCCAGGGGAAATGAGTTAAAAAAAAATAAAAAAAATCAACAAGAGGTGCGTTCAGAGCGAGAAAACAGAGCACCTTAACACCAGCAGAAGGTAACACACTCCAACCTTCATAGACTGAGTATATTCAGGCAACCCACATGTGCCTGCACACACACACTCACTCACACACACACACACACACACACTCACACACACAGCAGAATGTAATAACACATATGCACAACCACGAACAAACAAAGCACAAAAAAACACTTGTGAGATCATAAAACACAAACACACAGAGACAAGTGCTTTAACTCGAAACCCTGTTTTACGAGGGCACACTAACTTCTCCTCCCCCAAAAAAACCCACACACAACCTTTGTAATCCCGGCCCCTACGAGCCAGGAGAGGAAACCCCCCCCCACTACCATGCAGGCTGCTTCAGGATCACAGGAGGCGATTGTACTGCAGAGCTGCAAGCAATGAGACTCAATTACGCAATTCTCTGAAACAAATTAGACAAAACCCCCCCGACGTGTGTGTGTGTGTGTGTGTGTGTGTGGGGAGAAGAGGCCTTATGTAAAAATGGCGGAGGCTGTATTCATTGAATCTTAACCACACACCTGCACACACATCAAAATTCATCCCATCACAACTATGTTCATCCCACAAAATGCTCTGACTCTGGATTTACATTCTTGTCAGGGATCAGATACCTGGAGCAAGAGTCAACACACCGAGACGTCACTCAGCGGTTTGTGAGCTGCTGTTCTGAAGCCGCACTTTGACGCCATGTTCAGCACCATCTTGGTTTTTTAAAACAGAAGTAACCATATTTGGAGGAGCAGGGGGTGGAGCCTGAATGAGCAATCCCCCCCACCTACACCTGCCACCTGCACCCATTGGACAGCACCAGCTGTCAATCACAGTGTAGTATCCACCCCCCAACACATCTGGTTCTTCGTGGTCTGTTTGACTCTAAATGATGATAATTGATAAATGAACATCAGCTGTTTGAAGACGACTTGAGACAAAAAGTTTACTTTAAGTGAGAAGAGACGTTTTCTATAGAAACTATCAGAGGAGACATTTGATTAAATTATAAGTTATCGCGGCTAAAGACAAACCATGTTTTATTACCATAATTTGTGCATAAATATATATAATAAACATCCTAAGAGCACGTATGTGTGTAGTTATTAGTTATTAGAGTTTAAATGGTGAATCAGAGATTCTTCTTATAATAATATAAAGTAACTGAATGTGAGCAGAAAATATTGACTATGTACAGCTGCAGAATTTCTTCCATATCAGTTGTCACCAGCTTGTATTCACTGACCCGTGACACTGACATTAGAGAACAATCTCTGTGTGGACGAGTCTCAAACTAATAAAAAATCCTTTCATCGCCCTCGGAGGAAGGATTTTCAACCGCTCCGCAGACTCATCGACTCTCAGTCGGCAGCATTTTCCTCTTTCAGGCCCGACGCTAACATTTTACCTTCCTTTGTGGTTTGGAAGCAAAGAGAAGGTGTCTTTTTAACAAATATACAGTTATTACACTGCTCTTAAGACCAGAGCCAGGTCCATGTATGCATGTCCATGCTCTGCAACACACACGCACGCAAACACAAGCACCCACCCACACACACACACACGCACACACACACAAGGCTTTTCATAGAGCTCTGCACAGAGCCCACAGTGTATTCTGCTGAATGAACACAGGGCCAGCAGTAAGGGCCAAGGCCTGCCACAGCACGCACTGGATAAATGTGTGTCTTTGTGACTGCTCAGATGTGAGGAAAGGTTAAGAGGATGTGTTATGAGTAGTTGAATGTGTGTGTTTGTTTGTGCATGTTATACCACATGTCCTCACAAGGACAGCAAGATGAGGAGGAAGGGGAACAGTCTGTAAGTCCTCATTTATGAAGGAGGTGAGTTTTCTGATTCGATCTAAGTTAAAACAGGTTTTAATTCAGTTTAATGAAGTGTCTTGTTGATGACAGTGTTTTTAGGTGATGGTCACAATAACCTCTGGTGAGTCTGGAGAGTTTTCCCCTTGTTTACATAACGAAACACATTTTTACCATCAGGAGGAAATGGCATGAAAATATGTTATTCCCCAAATCACTGGTTCCCCAATCTGTGTTAGAAGATAAATCTGAGTGGTTTCAATATGATTTTCATATATTTGTAATAGTTTTACCGGTGCAACAGTCTCCTTATGAAACCACATGTAAATCCACTAAATCCTCTTTTTTCATTAAGACCCATGAATAATTTTCAATATCTCACAACAAACTGAAGAAAAACATGATGTCGGCTGAGGTAATGATAATCCGTCATAAAAGGATTTTAACAGTTGGACATTTGATTTTTTTTTTTTAAAAACATCTCGAAGCTAAGTTTACAGGAGAAGTTTCCTTGGTTTCGTAATATAAATTTAAAAACAAAAACAGGACTGGTCGAGGTCACGTTAGGGTCCAGAAGATTGAGAACTCTCTCAGGTAGAACCGCTCGTATGTTTGACAGAAAGGAAAATCACAACTGCTGTTTGATGTCTCGGACTGTGGAGCGTCACATGCACGAATACAAACTTCAGCTTTTAAATAATCATCCCGACTGTGGAACAGAATGAGCTCAAAGCCACGTGGGTAACGACATTAACGCAGAGTGAAGCTTCTGTTGTGGGGGAAAAAAAAAAAAAGTGGGAAAATACTCAAAACGAGTGAAGACAGACACACAAACATCTTACTGTACAAATATGTGTGTGTCTGTTTGTGTGTGTGCGTGTTGTCTGTGTTAACGGACATTTAAGAGACATGAAGGGAAAGACTGAGCAGAGATGTTTCAGCGTGAACGGTCCTTTTGACGTCATCATGTGAAAACACCTCCTGTTTCCAAAAGGATGAATTTAAGCTTCGCTGTCTTTTTGTGTTTAACTACATGTTGTTATAAAGTTTTAGTGTGTGGATTCATATTGATTACTTTTTCTACTTTGACAGAATATTGACAATCAGTTTTTACCTTTTTTTCATGTGTTTTTTTGAGTTTATTATATGACTTTAATTCTTTAATGAAAAACATGAATACTTGTACATTCACGCAGAATTGTCTGCATTTTTTCCGATCTTCTTTTCTGTCTCTCTTTTCTCGTCTTAATTTCCCAAAAGATATTTTTTGAGTTTGTCTTTTTTTCCTCTTTTCTAAAAGTCAGTTCTGTTTCTTTTCATCTCAGCTTCAGAGAACAGGGGAACAGGAACATAAATGTCATTACCCTGGAGATGGATGATTTTTACTCTACAGAGGTGACATCCATGTGCACATGGCGCCTCTCTAGGAGCTTCTCGGTACATTTCTGTGTTATTACCTTCACCTCTGTGTGTGTGAGTGTGGTAAAAGGCGGTACTCACTGTCTGCTGCCATCCTGCCATTGGGCAGCGAGCCCAGATCAACAACCATGCCGTCCAGACAGACGTTGAGCTCGCCTCCCGCTACAACCAAGCCTTTGTTCTCCGTCTGCAGCACCAGACTCAGCTGGACGTTCTCCACTGGAGGGGGAGGAGGAGCGACAGAAGCAGAGAATCAGAGGATGGCTGGTTGAAAAGGTGCAGGACAATGGTAGTGGTGGTGGTGGTGGTGGGGGGAGACGGAATGACAAAACAAATTGAACATTTGCCGTCACTGCTCTGAAATGAGAAAACAGTGTGAGCCCAGTGTTTTATCTTCCACATCAGCAGACGGACGGTCACCATGCTGAGACATTTATGAGCCGAGTAGGAATCAAAGTGCTGAGTAACATTTCTCTTTTTTTACTTTACTGTGGTTTCAGAAGCAGATGTGACGTTTCTGTGTCAAAGAGTGAAAACTGTCCCATCAACTACCGAAGAAATGATTCCATCGCACCGAGAGCAGAAAACTGCCCGAGGAACTGAACTTGATGTAAATCAGTTTGTAATCAGACATTTCCTGGTTTGCAGCTCTTATAATCCGTGTTTATCCTGACACTGCATCAGAGAATGATCTCCTGAATCTGCAGCGTTACCAAGCTTTGACCATCAGCTCACTAATGAGCCGGCCGGTCATTAGTTCACCCTCTCTGCTCTCATAACGGCTTTCAGACGATGCACTGAACTACTGAGAATCTCCTGAAACTATCCACCGCGGCTGTATGTGAGAACACGAACGTCCGATCCAGTGGCTGCGGACAATCAGGACATTTCCTCTGCCAGGCCCCGAGTAGCACATGTGAGAACACTGCAGGAGATTATTCGGAGGATTTACACAAGCAAGATGTCGTTACTTAGACGTGACGGACGCAAAAAACTGAAAAAAAACCCCACAAGAAAACAAATATCTCAGGATGAGGCGACATATATACGTAGAAGACACCAACAAAGACGTCAACTTCAAAAGACGCCTGCTTGATTTGCTGTAAACAACAACACATGATATCTGCAGCAGATTTCATACGTTCATATGTTCGGCCTCGGCCTCAGGAACAACCTCTCGCCTGAACGCTCCCGAGTCTGACCACAGAATCTCCTGCCGTGTTCTTTGTATGTGAAAGGCAAAGGTCAGAGAAAGTCCAGACACCACCAAACGGCAACAATTGCATTTACCGGGTCGGACAGAATTACCGCCCCACCTCGGAAGCATTCACACCTGAACGAGAAGCTCTCTACCTGGGATCGAATTCCCTGAGACACATGTTGTCATCAGGTCTGAACAGGGTCACGTTCTCTCTACTGTTCAGGTTGTCTGTTCTGGGCTACTGTAGAAACATGGAGGATGAGACGCTCCTGATACAAAGGTTCCTTCTTCAGAAACTTTCAATGACATTAAACCATGTGATGGAATAACCGTGGACTCTAATTGTGAGTCTGTGTGTGTGTGTGTGTTTTCTGTGTGTGTCCTTACTCTTGCCATCGTGTGAACGCAGTGTGTCCAGGAGGTCGATGGTGGCGCTGCCCAGAAGCTCCTTTCTCAGGGTGTGGCAGCACCACAGCTTCAGATCCAGACGACTCTGAGGCGTCACATTACTGTGAAACACACACACACACACACACATTACAACACAGATAAACTACATGAAGAACACAACAAATACTGCAAATCAGTTCACTGATCGATCACTCAGCATCAAAAACAACAAGCTGACACTGCTGCTTCATTTAACATGTTTTACTTATAATCATATAAATTACATGAATTTGTTCTTACCTACTGACACTTCGGACAGAGTATAAGTATGAGTATAGTACCATGAAGTTTTTTTAATGAGTTAGGATTAGATTTTTGGAGCAGGACCAGTTGAACTTGAATTAAATGTTACAGGTTCTAGAACGTCGGGTCATATTCTCTGAGCTCGCCCCTTTAGAAAACCAACAATGCAACAACGCATGCCTTGTGTTTTAGGGTAAGAACTGGGTTTAGGTCACAGGATAAGGGTTAGACATTTAGTTTTGATGGTTAAGGTTAGGGAATGTATAATGTCACTGAGTGTCCTCATTAAGATCGATGTACAAACGTGTGTGTGTGTGTTCTCACAGGGTGAGGTCTTCATTCCACTGCAGCTCGACATGTCCGCTGCGTTTGCCCGTTTTTTTGGTTTCGCTGCTCAGACCGTCAGCAGTCACCTCCACGAAGGAGCTGAGCCGAGAGTGGCGGTTTGGCAGCTTGGGTGACTGGGGCTTCGCTGAAACCACTGCTCACACGCACACGCACACGCAGAAACATGTTAGGTCATAAGGGGTACAGGAAGTAAAGGCAGGAATGCAGCGATCAACACACTTCACTTTTTTAACAGGATATTATACAAAACTTCAAACGTCAATCAAACTAACTTTCTAAAAGCTTGTTGACGCTCAAACCGAACAAAACGACTCTTTCTCGGAATCATTTTCAGTCGTTTCATCACAAGTCACAACTTCAGCTCTTTTTCCAGCTGTTTGTTTTGTTCCTTCATGCAGTGGATTGTGGGAAAGTGTCCGTAAACAGTTTGAACACGTTTCCTACATGAACACACTACATGCTGTGGTGTGACACTTCTTGTGTGTTGCTGGCAGGGGAAGGAAAGAGGAATACGAACACTGTCATCTAGTGGAGGAAACAGAAACATCTGCGGAGCCGCTTACATCTGTTTGAAAAAAAACTGAGGTCCAGAAAATAATGATATGGACACGATGACGTCCCGATGTAAAAACAAAACACCAGCTGAGGAAGCAGTGTACGAACACCGGAGGGCAGAGTTCAGACCCAGAAGAGTAATCCATCAGTCTCCACAGGAAATACCACTTTATTGTTTTAACCATTTTCAAACCTTTTTTATTT